CTGTGTCTGCAGCATTCTTTTGTGTAAGTGGTCATCAAATAAATTACTGGAACATTTACACTCCTGCTGAGTTAAGCTGCATGTTTTTGGGTAAGTAAAAAAACAATAGCACATTTGCTGGAAATTTTTATTTCCACCATTCTGAGACTATTTGTCAATTCAGCAAACTGGATCTGAGTAAATTTGGATGATGGTGGTGAATAACTGGGGACCTAAATGCTTACAAAGCTTCTAGTGGCAGTGTCCTTTTATGCAGTTGACAAGAGGCTAGAGAATTACCTTCTAGTACTACATAGTTTTTACATTAAATTTGGGAAAAGGCAGCTTTTCTAGCATTTTCTAATATTTTATTGTCTATTTGTGTGGTGGATCACATCATGAAAACAGAATCCTTTTGGAATTGGTTCAGTTATTCAAAGGCAAGAGAAAACAACTTCATACAAAACAGAAGCTAAAGGCTACCTAAAGAGTATTTCTGATGCAATATTTGCAGGTTTACCAGTTTGGGGCATGACATTCACATCAGGTAGCTTTGCTACTGCTTTTACAAGTATACCAAACCCTTGATAGACAGTATATTCAGATGCTGGTACCACAGCATCCCACTAGATTATTCCTCTGTCAGTCAAGGTGTCAGTGAAGCCCCGCATTGCTGGGGCAGTACATGGAATTCATAGATCATCTCAATGTCAGGAGGGAGAATTTGTTTTTGTTATGGTATATCATGGTAGTCCCACCTGATGTTCATTGCACAGCACAGCTTCTGTGGTGTGGTCTAGCTGAGAATAAGAATGCAGGAGAAGGGCAGAAAGGGTTAGTGACAATTCCTTTAAGCTGACTACTGAGACATTTCACAGCTCCCCATAGCATCTTCCCCACAGCCCATCCCTTTCAGGGAAGAATTCCAAGGAGATGCTCTGAGGGTGGCTTCACACAATTTTCTAGGCCTTGCATCTTCTTGTGTAACAGGACAGTGTGGCCCTCATTATAATTTTAATTGGGATCATGGGTTGTGTTTTACATAGGCACTAGAAGGTTTTAGAACATGTTGTGTTTTAGTGATTCCAGTTCCTCTGTCCCTGGGTGATGATTTCTCAGGAGTTCATGACTGCAGAAAGGCAAGCTGTGATCTGAAATCAGATGTACTAGAGACAAAGTTACTCTTTAAATGGGAAAAAACACTGGTGAGGCCACTCTTGGAGTATTGTGTCCAGTTATAGGCTCCTCAGTGCAAGAGAGACATGGACATATTAGAGAGGGTCCAATGAAAGCCCTCAAAGATGAGTAAGGGACTGGGTCATCCCTCTTATGAAGAAAGACTGAGAGAGCTGAAGCTGTTCAGCTTAGAGAAGAGAAGACTCAGACAGAATCTCATCAATGTGATCAAACACCTGAAGTGAGGGTGCAAAGAGGATGGGCTGAGTGCTTTTCAATGGTGCCCAGTGACAGGACCAGAGGGAATGGACACAAACTGAAACACACAGGAGGTTCTCCCTGAACAGCAGGAAACACATTTTTTACTGTGGGGCTGACTGAGAACTGGCACAGGTTACCCAGGAATGCTGTAGTTTCCATCCTTGGAGATACTTAAAAGTCATCTGGACATGGTCCAGTGTATGCAGCTCTAGTTGACCCTTCTTGAACAGAGAGAGTTGGACCAGGTGGTCTCCGGAAGTGCCTTCCAACCTCAACCATTCTGTGATCCTGCAATCCTGTGAAATCAAAAAAATAAAAATAATTTAAAAAAAAAAAAATGCTGTCTCAATTTGAAAGCTAGATGATGTGCAGCAGACAGTTGTTTCTGCAGCCTAACACCTTTTCTGTCAGCACTATTAAAGAGAGACTGCAATATGAGTCAGGAAAGACATTAGCCATGGCCTGGTGAATGTAAAAAATATGTGAGATTAAGGATCTAGTTTTATAGCTTCTTTTGTTTTACCAAATTGAAAAGCAGTCTGATTGAAATTATTTCATCAGATGGTATTGTTGAATGTCTAGTTTTCCCTTGCATGCATCACTTCAAAGAGTGGTGTAGCCATCTCCAGCCTTTTAAAGGACAGCCCTATTTTTTGTTCATCTCCAGAACACTAACCTGTGGGGCTGAAGGATACTCATGGAGCATTTTGCACTCTAGTTTTAATATATGCTTTGATTCTCAAATAAACAAACAAACAAATGTAACTAAATGGAATGAAACTAATTAACAATACTTCCTAACAAAGGTATTTTAAATTATTTTCATGCCAAGAAGCAAAATCTTTTTGGGGGGCCAATATTCCTAGAATAACACAGTCATTTAGCATATTGCAAGGGAAGAGCTATCAATCTGTTTGCCTTCAAAATGTTAGTGGCTGTTTTACTTCATAACTACTTTTGGAATTTCATAACTGAGAGGAGGTCTGTCAAGGCTTTGCTCTTTTTTGAGTTTGGCTTTGGAGTGGTGAGGGTTTGCTGTTGGTTTTTTTTTGTTGTTGTTGTTTGTTTGGGTTTCTTTATGTTAGGCTTTATTGGAATTGTTAAAAAAATATACACATAAAGCCAAATTGCCATGCCTACAAGACATTCAGTATGAAAAAGTGAAGCTCCCTGGCACAAAGCTTGTTTTGCCGTGCACTGGGAATGTTCATCAGGGGTAGTATATAGTGTAGCTTATGTGATGTACATTTTTATTTCATCTTACTACTCCCTGATTCCTTGTACAGACAAGCAAATAGGGTTCTAAAATAGGGAAAGGAATATTGTAGGTATGACAGAAAATTATTTTATCCCCCGTTCTTCTGGCCATTAGGAACAGGAGGATAATCACTTCAAAAGCATAAAACCACAAGGTCATTTCTGTGCTGTCCTTCCAGGTTTGCCTTCAGTCTTTCCCATTCCCAGAGCTAATTTCTGCTGTGCTAATGCCTCTGACTAGTACTTTCAGTGCCAAAATGTAGTGCTGGCCATAGGAAAGTCACATATAAGTCAGAAATGAGACTGGTGGTATGAATAGGGATTTACTATGACTAGGTGACTGCCTGAGTTTTTCACTTTTTTCCAAAGAAAATAAGATAATTCTTTTGTTCCATTTCTGCAGTCTTCTTTTTGTCACAGTAGTAGCCTCTCTGCATTCATAGCACTGATATGTAAACCTGGGATGAAAGTGCATGCTTGGGACTTCAACCCTTTGATTAGAGATTTAAGCCCCTGAAAGTGTCACCCGACAGCAGCTGTTTTAAAATGAAGGGGACAGAAACGAACTTGTTTGGGGTGTGGGGATGAGGAGAAACAAGTGCATATTCATTGGTCCCTTCTGCTTCATTTTGTCAACTGGCAGTTTTCTCCAAGTGCCTTTTAGGTCAGTTCTTTAGGACACTTATGCCTAATCTCCAACAGCTTCAGATCCTGACCATTAATATATCAAATGCCTGTGCTGCTTTATCAGCACAAAGGAGCCTTGAAAAAGGGCTGACTCAAATGGCAAATTAAGTCCCTGTGAGTTTAATGGTACCTAACACTTTTTCTCTGGCTTGGAAAATACCTCATCAGTTTTGCTAGAACCTCACTGGTTTTGCTTTATATTTTGATGAAAACTCGAAATTAAGATGCGATTGATGATCCTGTTACCTAATTTAGAAATAGAATGGAATAGAATATAATAGAATGATTTCATGGAGAATTAGAGTTTATATATCTATGATTAAAATATGACTGTGGAAGTAAGAAAGAGAAAAGTCCTTTTTTAATGGAAGGCTTTTATGGAGTATTGGAAGACACATTTTGTTGCATTTGGAACAAGCATTTTTCTTAACTCCTCTGTAACTTTTGAGTACAAGGTTGGTTCATCATGTCTACTAGGTTTGAATATTACGTGAAAATTGTCCACTGAGTTTCTGGTATGAATTACTGTTTTTAATTTGCTTACTAAGTTAGCTGTTGTATTACACATTTTTTATACATTTACATAGCAAAGGGCTTATAGAAGAACCTAATTGCAGGCTTTTTAGAATCTTATTTTGGATGTTATTTTAACGTGCTTTGCTGCCCCAGGCATGAGAGTTGTGTAAATGAGGACCACCAAAGAAGATAGATATTTCTTGTGAAACTGAGACATACCTCTGCAGAAGGTTTTACATAATTAGCCATCACCCCTAATTGTTTTACAATAAAGTCTAACCACTGCTTTATCATTTTATCTAAAATAAATATCATCTGTGTTTCTTTCATAAATCTGGGAAATAAACACTAGGAAATGTCTTTAAGTGTTTGGTTTGGTTTTTTTGTTTGTTTGTTTTTTTGTTTAATTGGGGTTTTTGCTTTTAAATTTGGGGGGGGGGAAGGAAGTTCTTAAATAATTGTTATTGATTGACTTACAAAAACTATTTATGACTCCTTGAACTGTGGAAGAATATATGTACTATCCATTAAGCATACCCAAAATTTGGAACACTGCTGCTGAAAATTTTTAAAACTTTTAAATCTACATTTCAGCATGAAAAATGGACAAGTAAGGTATATTTAAAAAATGTAAAAAGCTGTGTGTCCTTCCAAATTCTTCCATTTCTGGAATGGGCCCTTCTCATTTTTCTTCATTATCTGCCTTCCATATGAGACCAGAAGCACAAATGTCAAAATCATTTAAGATAAGCCTTCCTTGCAGTATTTCTAAGTTCTAGAGAGGAGGAAAGCATTGGCAGTCTTGCTGGCAAGACTACGCTCTTAAGGTTAATTAGCCAGCTTTTCAGAATCAGAAGCCACAGTTCTGCTTTCTGTTTATCTTGACATCTGTGTATTTCCAACACCTTCAGTAGAATTATTTCTTATCTATACAGGAGTTAATTAGAATTAATCCACCCCAGCTGATGAACTAAGGCATTTTAGTGCCCAACTGTGGAGTACATATTCAGTCTTTTTAAATTTTGTTTATCATTACTTACCCCATATGAGACAGAGGGGAAAATGCTGTTAATATACTTCATCATGTCTATCTTATCCACATCTTTTGTTTTATTTGCCTTTAGGGTGAACCTGGTTTGCCTGGCATAGTGGGAGAGAAGGGAGCAGCAGGGCTTAAGGTTGGTATTGAAAATGGATTAAAAACAGAAGCACACAGTACGTGAGAGCATGTATAGATGACAGTCATGCTTTCCAACTTGGGTTTATATTCTGACTGGCTTTTAATGATCTGGTCCCTCCAGTGATCAGTGCTGTAAGAGGCTTTACACATTTCGCCATAAAGAAGCATATTCTTCTGCTGTGCATGTATAATTCCAGTCAGTGGCACTGACGCATATGCGTCCACTGCCAAGTGAATGCAATACGCCTGAAAGTGTTTGGGAATGTGGGGACCTTTTTAGAAGGGCTTTGTTTATGCTCCTTACAATGTGTTTCAGGCTTCTTTTCAAGAACTACTGTGGTCAATTGTTTGACGAATGTCAGGGTTAAGTCTTGAGGGCTGATCCTGCTATTATGGATGTTAGCAACAAGCCTCATTAGGAGCATGTCTTGGCCTGTATTTGCTAGACCAGAATGTCTCTTTGCACTTATTTTATTGTTAAGTAATTTGTTCTGCTGTTTTAATATTGAGCAAATGAAATAGAACATAAAGCTTATGATAACTTCACTTAAAAGAAAGCTCAACAAGTCCAAAATGATGGGATCTGTGGGCCTCTTGGAATGGGTAATGCTAAATTCTAATCCCATCAGCTGCGAGCGTGCATCTTTGGCACACATGTGCTCCTCAGCTGATTCTGTGCATCACACTGCTGCTGACAGACATGCAGGGCAGGCTCTTTGCATTCACTGACTGGCTGCTTGTCCATCAGGAATGAAAACAAACCATTTGGGAGCATGACCTTTTCTTACTTTGTATACAGAAGAGGCCAAATAATGGCAGTTGATGCTTAATTCATATTCACAGCTGTAGTCTTTGAGTTGCCTAGCGACCGCCAGCCATCAGAAGGGGCAAAGATGAGCCAGAGTGCAGTTCTGAGCCAGAAATGTAGAGATGAGTTGTCAGGGTCAGGCTGGTGTGCAAAAGTCTGTTTGCCATTGAGCCAGTTCCTCAAGCAAGTTATAATTTTGAAAGATAATGGCTATAAGCTATCTTTTTTGTTAAAGCAAATGCAATGAGCACCAAAGGCTCTTTCCTCTCTGAATTAAGAATTAGTTCAAGACAATTAAGGCATTTTGTTTGTCCCAATGAACCTTCTAAGCCATTAACAGAATCATAAGCCTTTCCCCTCACATACAGCCTTTGGATTTTATCTTTGTTCATTCCCAAAATAAGGGGAACCAAATATGGGAGTCACCCAGGTCCTGGCAGGCCACTTCACAAAGACATATACCTGTTTGTCAGGGTTTAATCTAGGACAAAATGGAGGAAAAAAGTCCTTACATTCAAATCATTAAACTTTTAAAATTATTTGGAAGACACATGTCTGTTGAGTTCTATTAAATTTATATATTTTATTGTTTATTGAAGATTTTCTTGCTGGATTTTATCATCTGAGACAATGTCATCAGTAATGACATACTTGTTAGTAATTGACATACTAATGTTGATAATACTAATTTTTGCTTGTGTTAGTAACTTCTTTGATCTAATTATTTTCATCAGGGTGACCCTGGAGAAAGAGGCGAAAAGGTGAGACATTTCACTTACTTTGTGGTGGTTCTGTTTTGGAGAACTGCTTGGAAAGCTGACAGTGCGCTGATTCTGAGTTTAAAAAGAAATAAATGCACCTACTACCTAGAACTTGAGTGGCACTGTGCAGCCTTTACAAGTGTCAAATAATACCTACTAATGGAAGTTACTGATATGCGATTACTGCAAGTGGGATTAGTCACAGAAAGCAGTGGTCATGTGTTAAAGGCTGCAGTTGAGCAACTGTGTAACTAATCCTAACTATGATTAGTCTCAGGATAAAATGACCCTGTCTGAATAAATGAGAGATCCACACGTTTCTCATAACTTGGTTTCAGTGCTCTGTCACCTGTGCGGAGTAAAACAATTAGGTAACAGAGTGGTAACTGCATAGGCTCTAAATGATAGATGGGTAACCAGTTTTCCGCGTACTGTAAGTGGAATCCTCTGTTCTTGCTTGGATCAGTTTAAGTAAGAGCAAGGGAATCTGCCCCAGTGATCTTAGGTTAATGACTGTCTGGAGAGGCACCGGCAGCACAAATGGTGAGCTAACGGCGCTCTGACTTGCAGTGAGTTAGCGAGGAGTTACTTCTCTGACGTCCACAGTCACACCAAGATGAGACAAGGGAGTGGAACAAGCTCCACACTGCAAAACATGGGTATAATTCTGCTCTTTCAGGGAGAGTGGCCAGTAAGAGCACCCGTGTGAGAGCACACACTGAGTGGGAATCAAGTTTCTGCATCTGTGCAAGGGCAGTTTGAGAAATAGCATAAGCCTTATTTTGAGTAGGAATCTGTACACAGCCTCACCTTCTGCGAGCACATTGAGACGTGTTTTTAAAAAGTAAGTTGCTTGTACTCAGGTGCAGTTTGCTCTTGAGAAATGTTTACCCATGTCTTTGCAGCTGCAATTGAACGTCACTTCCAGATCTGTGTAAATCCATGTAAGAGCAGCTGGAAGCATGCTTTGCAAAAGGCAGTTTGTTTCACATTTTGAAAAACACACCATAAAAATAATCCAGGGTAATCTTGAAAGTGTATACCCCACATGCAGAAGTATGTAACTAGGAATCTCTTTTCATTAAATCATTGCTTTGATTAAAATTATATTGTTGAGGAACTTCAGTGATCTTTTTTTTGTTTTGAGACACAAAAGGAAAAACTATAGATTTTAACATACACTGAATTTCTGATACTTAAAATCACGATATTTTTCCATAATAGTCTTACGTATTTTCCTAAAAAAATTAATTATGAATGCCTTCAATATGCTTTATCATGTCCAATCAGCTTGGAATGACATTCTTAGCACTTACTATTTTGTGTTTCCATGTTTCATCATCTCCTTAATTAAAGTGCTGCTAGTTTGTTAGCTAGTTCCCATTGTGTCACTGACTGTGATATACAAAATGGTCTCTGTTATAAGACCTCTGACTGGAATTTTACATTAAGGTTTTCAGAGCAATATGACAGATACTGAATAAATATTGTTATCTGAATTACTGCTACTGGTTATCTGACCAAGACCTATTAGAATGTTTTTTAACCTATTTAGACTCAACATCTATCCATAGTTTTGGCATTTCAAATATTTCTCACACTTTATATGAATCTCAAATCCCACAGAAATTTTTGGCCTATGTCTCATATATAACGAAGACTTTTTGGTGTAGTCTGGATTTATTATATAGCTATATGACTATAAATGGAAGTTGGGTCTTTTTATAGATAAATCTTTTGAAATGTTTCTTTACAAAGTTGTTTTTAAAGTAGAAAATGCCTACCCAGCCATGAAGAAGTGTTATCTGAACATCACTTAACAATAAACAATGTATAGAATTTATGTAGAAATAACAATACTTCTGGTGGTTACTTGGAGAAGTGGCATTCAGTGAAGTTTTTCTAGTTTGTGAATCATTCATGAAAGACTTCGGCCTCAGAGAGTATTCGCCATAAATTACTTGAGAATCCTAATAAAAAGTATTAGAACTGTGTAACTGTCACCTGAATTTGATTAGATGCATTTAAGTGAATGTCTCTGTTGGAAAAAAAACCACATACATACTGGTAATTTTAAATGCTGAATCATCATTAAATCATTGCTAAACCACAGTGAACTGGGGAAGTCTGTAGATTATACTGACAGGTAGTTATTGGATAGATTGTGGGCTTTTTGGAGGACCTGTGAGAGGGATTACAGTTATCATGAACACTGTATAAGACGTAGCAGCTATACAAGCCATGGTTCCTGACTGTGTCATAGAGAAGGATTGACTACCTGATTAACAAAATTAGCTTGCTAATCATGTTGGAATGCTGACTCTTCTCTGCATGCTGTGTGCTTACATAAAATCATTAAAATATATGTGTTTTAATTATAGGGTGATGCTGGAGAAAATGGACCAAAGGGTGACACAGGAGAAAAGGTACACTACTTGTCAGTAGAGAAGAAAATATGTGCTTTAGGCATGCTTATGGTATAACCAGCTAATGAAAAGTGATAATTTTATAAAAAGAAAAATGCATTTTAAGCTGTTTTGTTGTTGTTTTTTTGATGCTGAGTAATTAGTCTGAATTCTTTTTTGTGAACAGAAGAAAAAATGTCACTGTTCTGTCCAATTAAGCATATAATTCCTGACTTTACATAGCAGCAGCTTTAGTACAGGATACATCAGCATGTCTCTAATTAGCACTCCTCTTTGCTGAAATTTGCATCATACAAAACTTTGGTCACAACCTGCCAGACTGTTGGAACTAGGTCTGCTGAGTAATAGCCATTTCTGATATATCCTTTTACATTTTCGCTTCTGTGTTTACCTCAAAAGAGGGACCAAACCAATATGGGACAAAAAATATGGTATCATGATAGGTAACTTCCCTCCAAATTGCCAGCTGGACAATTGAGAGTTGAAGATAAAAATTACATTTTAAATCTTTTTGCCAGATGACATCAGAAATAACTTCATTTAATAACTTGTTAGTTCATTGTTGCAAAGTACCAATATATCGTAGAAGTCACTAAAGAGTAGACATTGTCAACATTTTATTTTATTTAGTTTTAATTTATGAGACTCATGCTGCATCACTGAAAAAAATATATATAACTTGAGTTTTTAAATGTGCTTTACTTCCACAAGTCATAGTTTTTAGCTGTCAGGGCAAAGCCTGTGTTGCACAGAAAGAAGGAGCAGTCATAATGATCTCTTCTGACCATCACTTTGAACTCATGTTTCTAAAATCATTCATTTTAGTGACTACACTTGGGCAGAAGCAAAAAAATTTATTCTTGTACCCATATATACATAATTGTTTAACCAACTCACATCAGTTTAGTGCAAGAAGTTTATAATAGAGTTACCAAGTTGGTAGGCATGCATGCAAATCTCTCAGGTCCTATCATTTGGATACGGTAAAGCTATGCTTTCAAGAACACAAGGATTTTATGGGACATATTCCAAAATCAGCAATTAAAAACAGACATTAGATTTAAGAATATTCAAGTTATTTGATTCCCAGGGTTCATTTAAATAATACTTTATCTGCAGTCATGTTTATTTACCCAGATGAAAGTCTTAAGAATCTTATATATTTACTTATACAATGTATGCTGGTAACATCATCTTGTTCCACTTTTATGTGATTCAGGAATATAATCTCTCAGTAAACACAATATTGTTGTTCAGATAGATAGCCCTGCAACAAGTAACTGGGAAGTTTATAATCTCTGTGGGAAGCCTAGTGCAGCTTTACTTCCTCCTTTTCTATTTTATCAACTGTAAGAGCGAGCTTGCATTCACTAGAATGCCCTGTGGTCCACAGTGCGCACATCTCCCTGCTTGGGATCTTCTTTAAGGAAAGAAAATGTTCTCTCCTTCTTTCAGTGAGAAATACTTTCTCCCCAAGCATAGTGTTTTAAATATTTCTGTGTGACCTTTCAACAATTTGGCAGTCTAGTTGGGATCAACTTGTGGAAAGTATAGGTCATCAGAAGACTTGTTATATTGCTGTATCTGAAGCAATTTCAATAAACTTCATGAACTTCATAATACAGAAGTCTCCCATCTCTTCCAGATTTCATATAAGTTTCAGAGGTGGGGTGGTGACATGGGAGTATATGCTGTTTGTGTGGAGTGCATTGCTTTAACTGTAACAGGCTAGAATCCACTGCATGAATTTTTACAAGAGAGTGAGCAGAACTGTGTCTTAGTTGACTTTCATTATTTTTCCTCCATTTTCCCTGCCTGCAAGACAACCTTCCACCCCCCAAAAATGATCCAGATGTTATAGGAGAGCTGCAGCTTGAAGTTTCGGGTAGATAGCTCTTGAAACATCCCTTCATAAGGATCTTAGGAGAGTGTTTTTTGACAGATAATTTAGGAGTGAGCATTAAATTTGGTGTCATTACATTACATCTGTACTACTTAACAAGGATTGTATTCTTTCTTACTCTTCAGAAGAGGGGGAAATTTTTGCTGTATAGTCATTATGATTCCAGTATGAATTTGCCCAGCAATCGCTCATCACGTGTTAGAGGAAAACAGAATGACTATATACAGCCACGTTTAAGTTCAAAACTTGTTACTTAATGACTTTTTTCCTCTGTTTTTTGATTTGTACTTTTTTCTGTATTGTGTCTGCACTTTCTCTACTGGTGTCATGATCATCTTGAGGAGGCAGTTAAACTTACCTTGACTATAAACCCTGCTACAATGCAGGGTTTCAGAGTAGCTCAATAACATTCCTTCTATGGTTTCCACTGAGTACTTTCTGTTGGGCAAGAGATTAACATTAAAGACTATGGCTTTTGTCTTAAGCAGATGAATCAACTACCAGCAAATTTCATAGCCAACCTTATTGGTGCATTATGCTTATACACCTCTTCTGATATTGTTTTTCCCTACTGCACAACCTATGCCTTGTATTTGGGTAGCTCAAAGTCTGGGGTATGTGTTACATTATGGAACTTCACTACCAGATGAGTACTGGAAGTTTATGCCAGCTGAACACTTATGGACAGGAGCGTAAGACTTATTAAGGTTCAGTTTTTAATGTCTTTTTTTAAGAGAGCTGCTGGATGTATTCGGAGATGATTCATTTTTTGCTCAGGTGTTCAACCACATATGTGAACAAACCCTTCCTGCTCGGTAAACAAGCCAGTGATTTTATGTAAATAAATGCAGAGACCATTGCACTGATCACAATGCTACACATATCCTTAAGAGATTTAATTCATAGTTCACAAAATTTAAAAACTTTTCTTTAAGAGCTTAAATAATGTTCCTGTGAGATAAATATTAAATTTTCATTTATATGGTGAGAGAGGTCAGGTGACATCAGTTTCAGACTTGGTTTAGGAATGGGTTCGTGTTAGTGCAATTGCTGTAATACTTCATTGACCTGTACTTAAGAAAGAAACCGTTTTTGTTGAATTGTCCTAATTTGAAGACAGTGTCAATGCCAGACTTGAGTTCCTGCTTCTACTGTTCTACTGTAGTCTTGGTCCCTAGAAACTACCAAGTATCTTCCTTCTGTGCGCATGTTCCCTTGATAAAGTTTCTTCATTTCCAAATGGTCTGATTCATCTTAGAACCGAGAACATGCTGTACCAAAATTTTTTCTTTAATCTCATATTGATTTTCATTCTTGCATGAAGGTGGATTATAAATACTTCGTGACTTATCTTCCCCATATCCCTCATTATCCTTTAAAATGTTTAACTGCTGAATGTTTCTTACTAGTTGCTTTGCCACTTTATAGCTATAAAAAGTCCTTGAGGCTTTGCAGTTGTACATGCTTGTAAGGGATATCAGCAGTATCACTCATGCATGTCTATCAAAATGAGGCAGCTCAGGTTTCCAGACATGAATCAACCCTTCATAATACTGATTTTTGTGTTTTCTTCACACATGAGCATACTGCAGTAACTGCGTAGATGAAATCTATTCCTATTCTTCAAAGAGCAGTGAGCATGTTACCTGGTACCATTTAGTTTTATGAGACTATTACCAGAAAGACCCCATATCCATACCATCTTTAAAACCATGGCATTCACAGAATGCTTCCTGCAGCTTTGCTGAACCATCAGGAATGGGTATCTCCTATTTGTATTTTAATACAAAGAATAGTAAGCTTTTATACTGGGTTTATACATCTTCAAACTGGATTACAGTCCTGGCTCCTATGCTACCTATGCAATTCACTATCAGACTGTTGAGGAGCTTGAAGTTGCTACTGTGTAGCAACCTGTTATTGTCAATGAACAAGCCAAAGTTATTTTGAATAATGAATAATGAGACAGTTCTCCAAAACTAAGCACTCTAGCTATCTCCAACAGCATGTAGTTTGACTAGCAAACTTTTCATTAACTTAGTTTTTCATTTTTCTTTGGTGTGTCATTTAAGAAAAAAAAAAATGTGATGATGTGAGTATACAATAATTTTAATTATCCTGTGACAATTGTACAAAACAGGGAGCTAAAAGCTTCCTTGGCCAAGTCACTCGCTGATCCCCTGCCCTTGTGCATATCACTGCCTGTTAAATCTAATCAACCCGACAAAACACAGCCGAATCTATTTGGATGCTAGGTGCTTCAGAACAGAGACCTCTCCTAGATGCATAAATTACTGTAGCTCTCATCCTGTAAAGTATAACACTTAACTGCATTAAAATATCCATTTAAATATGCCAAAGAGCTGATAAAATAGAGCTATGACCTGTCCTGATGGGGATAAACACATAGGTCACTGGGGGTTTTTTTCAAGGCAAACCTTCATAAGCAAAAAGAACTTTGTCAGTTGAGATCTGACACTTGCCATCTGTAGAATTGGGTCAAAAGGATTGTTCATATTCTTTGTAAATGGCAATAAATTGGTTTTAATGTATATCAGCAATTTAGAGATGTCAAAGTATGTTCCATCTTCTGCCTTTATGAAGTACATTTATACAAAATCTGCGATTACATCTACATAATTAGTTGTGAAATTTGAGGTTAACTATTATGCTGTTTGGATAAGTGAAACTAAATCTCTCTTCATGTTCTTGAAAACAATACTGTTCCTTTTCTGCATCACACTGATTTAAGTCATTGGGTAAATTCCTATGTAACAGCACAGAGAACAGGTAAACTTGCTATATAGTTATTTTGCTATATAATCTTGCCATACTCCTGCATGTTTTCTTATATCTGTTTCCTGAAAAACTGTATATGTAATAAGTGTGATTATTTCTTGTGGATTTTGTATCAGGGTGATCCTGGTTCTTCTGCTGCAGGAATTAAGGTAATTCAGTTTTAAAGCAGTTGTACAGGGAGAAGAGGGGTGGTTGGTCTTTGTAGTGTCATAGACATTTTGGTTACCATTAACGTTACTGTTTTCCCCAGCTCTACTGCTAATTCATTTTGTCAGATCTCATGTATTTCATCTCTTTTCTTTCAGGGTGAACCTGGGGAATCTGGACGACCTGGACAAAAGGTATGAGTTGGAAATGTTGTTTTCCTTTTCTTCACTGTTGGATTTGTGACAAAAGATCTTACCAGTGGCACTTACCCAGACTTGGATGAGCCTAAGGCAGCACAGTTTAACAGCCCAAGCACTGTACACATTTGGTGTATGATCATTTTGTATTTTAAAAAAGCACAGGAATGATGATAATAATTAACACGAAAAGCATTATTAGATTAACACACCTTCCTTTCTAGCCACAGCATGTGTCTTGTGTTGAAAGCTTACCCGACTGCAGCTGGTGAGGCTAACAATGAATGGCTCTGCTCCTTGAGTGATCACAAGTTAACCCTGCATGTTTGGCTGAAAATGAGACTTCAGTCTGTGGTACAATATTACATCTCATTAGGAAGAAAATAAATATTGACTAGAATATCTTTCACATATACCTGTAAGGGGAATCAAACTGTCAGAGGCCTGTGGTATGTTTGGAAGGACGTAGACCAGATAATGCCACTCTGTTCTTCCTCCCATGGGGAAGAAATTCCCCTGGGTGCTCTATGGCTGAAGCTGCTTTTGCAAGTAAAGCTCCAGCGGGAGCCGTAATGACTCTGTGCTGCACGAGGCCCTCTGAAGCTGGGGAATTTCCTCTCTGAATCCATGGTACATCAAACGCAGTGAATGCTGTACCTTCAGCTGCCTTTTAAGAGAGTGGGGGGCAGGTCCTGCTGGGAGAGCTGGTGAAAGGGCGAAGAGAAGAGACATGAGGGAACCAGATTTTTGCTTTGCAATACTTGGTTTTGCTTCGGAGCCTTCAGCACCTTTCTTGCCTCTTGTAACATTGAAAATGACCCACTGCTGCCAGAGGGGAGCAGAGTCCAGCTGCCAGTTGAGCTAGCAGGTATTCCAGAGCTAAAATTCTGTATAATGAATGGCAGTACGACCATTTTCTAGTGCTCAAGGTCTTTCGGTGACTAAGCAAAACCCCTAGATACATTTAAATATAAAATAAGAATTGAAATCTTTTTGCTTGAGAAACTATGACTGTCATCAATTATAACAGACCAAACAAAGACTATTAAATGCAGTTCTTCAGTAAAATGCAGTTTTAATTAGAAAAGGTAATCAAAGTAATTTAAAGCTATCTAATCCACAGAATCATTCAGTGTGTGCATTCCGCAGTGTGTGTTTTGCTTGGGTAATAAACTAGAAAATGCACTTAAGAGCCTGTTGAGATTCATACTCTCATTAGCTGACTGCCATAGAGGCAAAACTGGCAGTGATTTATCAGCAGCCTTGTGGATCTCAGTCCCCAGGCACTAAGGTTTGATCTCATTTAGGTGACATAGATAAGTGAGAGGTATGCAGGTCAGACTTTCTATAGTCTCAGCTTGTTGTTCACACCAAATGGGACTTAATGTGTTCTTCCCACTTCACCTCACAAGCTTCCAGTATGGCACATTTGTGTCCCCAGCCCGCCCCAGCAGCTCCCACAACGCACTCATCCAAAGCGACCTCCAGCCAGGTGCCTCATGCCTGCGGTTCTGCTCCCTGCTTAGCAGGGCCTCGTTCACCCCACCAGAGGTTGTGAGGGACCCTTGGTTCAGCTGGAGGCATGTCTCTGCCCTCTACATCATCTCAATACATTTCCCCCTACTGCGTTCCGCTCCTATTTCCTTCCTGTATTGTCACTCCTTCCTTACTTTTTTTTTTTTTTTTTTCCTTCTTCATCCAGTTATCCCAGTTATCTGTCTTCTAAGGACAGATAAATATTGAGCTGCCCACCTGAATATTATTTCCATTAAGTTAAACATGATGGTATTTCAGTGGCCTGACAAGGCTATTGTGTGCCATGTATGTTGCAGAGGTGATAGAGTGACCTGCCCTGCCAACCTGAGCATTATGAGATAGAGTTAGTATCCAGCCTTGGTTTCTTTAAAAATCACTCTTCTTATAAATCATATTCAGATCTTTTGTATCAGGAAAGGTCCAGAAAATAAAATATTATCAATTTACCTGAAATACTAATTCTAATGAATCATTATTGATTCCACTGTGTTTCATGTTGTTTAATGTATCTTTGAGGGGCATTTTAATTGTTTTAGATTACTGTCATTCTGAACTGGCTTTGCTAGATCCTTTCTTTTGTTATTTGTGGGTCTATGGGGGTTAGCTCTGTCCCAAGACTAAACAGTGACCTACTGCAGCAATACTAATAGATTATCAGTTATAATTATTCAAATGCTGTGCTTAGAAGTGAAATTCAGTGCTTCCACAATTAGATGAGAAAAGGTCATGGTAGTAATGTGGTACGTATGGCTACTCAAGTGAGAAACTGGAAGACAGAGGAGTAGGGTTTGGAGCTATCACTTTGTCAGGAATGAGTGCAATAGAGACCTTTTAAAGGATTATTTTTTTGCAAGAGTGACAACCCATTTTCTGCTTTAGAAAGTGTTAGGCAACATTCCAAGAAATAATAGTGTCTATTGAAAAAGGCATCCTAGCCTCTATTCTTTCATCTGATTTTGCAGTTAATATTTTGAGACTGTAATCTTTCCTGTGTTTTTAGGCAATATGAACAGTTAAAATTTTGGAGTAACTGAGATGGACAAAGAAGTCATTATCAGATCCTTCTGTAACATTTAAAAAACACTCCATTTGGTAAAGTGATTTGCAGACCCTCTCTTATTTTTCAGTTTGTGGCAGAATGTTATTTTATTAGTAGTACTTCAAGTCTATTTAATATTACTGTCTTAAATAAGTGGTTTTGGGTACTGTAGTCTGATGAGCATCTGTGTTATGTATATATGTGTTTCTGTTTGTGTATGTGTACACATGTATATGTGAGTGTATGTGTATGTGCATATACATACACATGTAAAATATTTTAATAGCACAATCTGTATGAATCAGTCCAAACCACAGAGTTGAAATCTGGATTTCTATAAAGCTCAGGAGTGTACAAAATCTGGAATATAGTTCAACTCATTATAAAGGTAAAGTTGGCTCCAGAGTTCAGATCTGAGCTTCCAGAAAGTTCAGGGAATATTCAGATCCAAGGTGCTGGTTAGAATCCATCTCTGTATTAAAATAAAATCTCCAGCCTTAAAAATAATGTTTTCTTCACATGTTATTTCTCTTCATTTTTTTTTTTTTCCCCTGTTCATCATCTTTATTTCCCTAGGCAACATCTTTCCATTTAGTTGATACCCCAAAATGACCATTTCTGCGGATGTTGTTATTCAGACTAATATCAACTTCAGTTCAAAATTAATACATTCAGTTTTCAATTCCTGTTACAAAAATCGCCCTTGCAAATTCAGTACTGTAAGTCTTTTCATTGCAAGTTTAAATAAGCAAGGTGTTTCTGGGTAAAGCAATAGACGGTTACATTCCCACTATCCTTCACAACACCATGTATATTCACAGATAAATAGCAAGCACTGAAATGATGCTACAGATAGCTCCATAAAAATGATGGCCCAGTTATAATTAGGCAGTCCTACTTGAATTGCACAATTTAAACCAAGCTCTTCTGAATTGCTTTGTCGCTAAATCAGACAGCTAGACAGCACAATATCTAGCTCAGAGTTGAAAATGGCACAAAATTAAACATCTGTCACATGTATGGAACTGCAGTGGCAGTGTGTAAAATGAACCAGTGCTGCTTGTTTTCTTCTCTTTTGGTGAAGGCTGATGTGAATTCATTTTTGGCTTTCCGGACATGAATTTTCAACTTGGGTGTCATCTTCACATCCAAGGTTCCCAGAAGATATTTAATTTCTTAACATGACTCTTACTAACTGTACCTTTAAGTCACTCATTTTGAAAATATCAGTCCTGCTTGAACTGACTAGCAGTCATCTATGCTCTTTTATCTTGCTGCGGAATATACAGGAGTGTTCACTGGGTAGTGACCATAACTGAATAATGTCTGTAATATTATGTAATTTTCCTGTATAGGGTGAACCAGGTCTTCCTGGGCTTCCTGGACTCCCTGGGATAAAGGTAAATAAACTGTAGTCTCTGCTCTACTGGGTGGGGGGACACTGCAAAGAAGGGGGGACTGCAAGAATGTGGCTAAAATGGTCTTACTTGTACTTGTGCTATGTCTTCTTCTGAGTCTCTGGTATTGAACTGGAGATTGTCACAGAAAGGTTTCACATGGAAAATTAGTTGGGTGTCTATGAATAAGCAAACAGTAAATCTTACATTAAAATGTGTAGTAGAACATTTCATTCTAGTGCTTTAAAAAAATAATCTAATGTATGATTTTTTTAATATTTTTATTTAATGGAAGAGGCTTGTCATCAAAGTTTTACTTGGTTTCTGCTTTGATGGGCGCTTTCCAGTAGCAATGGTCTACTAAATTTACCAAGCCTCCAGACAGAGAATTACATTAATTATACACAGGCTGTTGAGAACTGTCTCTGTCAAGAAAAATATTCTGTGCTCCATTACCCAGCAGTGATTTCCACTGACAAGTCAACATGTTTTAATAAGATTCTATTCAGTATTAGGTCAGGGACTGTAGCTGACAACTGATTTAGACCCTGGCTTCTGGTTTGTCTGGGATCTTTAGGTAAGTTGATACAAAAGACATGTGGTTGGTTTAGTTCTAGCATAAGTGGTTGCACTGGGAGCCACAGACGCTTGCACAGTTTGAGCTGGAACTGTATAATGCTGCACACGGTGAGTGGATTCACATATCCCACGTGAGTGCAGATTAGAGTGGTGGTTCTCCTTTGTGGCAAAGACTGTTCCTTCAGAAAACAAAATCTCTTTGAAACTTTTTCTTTGCGTTCCAGCATAGGCCTGTATATACCCCAGGAGATAGTTTATATCATTTCTTCAATAACAAGGGGGATAAGCCAGAGGCCAAACTCTTAATCATTTTTTTAGAATTCAGGATTTATCTCATGGAATGTAATATTTGCAGTGGTTTTCTCAAAGGACCTGTGAATTGCCACAGCATTGAAGCATAATGTCTCTTCTGTGTTACTAGTGAATTGTGGGAAGAATTGAAAGTGTATATTAAAGTTTGTATGTTGTAATACCTGAAAATATAGTTCCCAGGGAGGTTGTTCATTTTATGTGAGAAAGAGCCCTATATTGACTAGTGAAGATCATGCAGGAGCGGAGTCCTTTGTGTGATTAAACTGTATTTTTATAAGGGCCTTTGACAGCAATTCCTATTCTATTTACTTTAAGAGTGAGCAAAAAAGTACCTCAGTTGGAGGTCTGTGCCAGCATCCTGGGGGCACTTGCCAGAACCAGCTGGAGTTATGGCTGGTCTTTGAGGATTCCATGTTCCTGCACACCATGCATGTTCATGCGTATCATCAGCAAGTAAAAAGAAAAGTCTAAATCTGAGCTTCTGCTCTGGGAAAATGATTGCTGTTAAGCTTTATTTCTTGCTAGTGAGAATGGTTCAGAAGGGCAGCATTCAGATTCACCTGACAGGCAAGATGTGAAGTGAAAAATGGATGAAGTATGGGAGTTTTTCCCAGTGAAAGTTTGTTTCAGAATTCAGTGGATACGGTGGAAAAACAGTGCAGATGCCTGCAAAATAAAATGGAATACTTTGGTCAAATAGTAATTCTTTAGGAGAATTCTAGCTTCTATTAAAAATCTAGGCCAGAGAGAGATTAATAGTGATTCAGTGAAGTAATTCCATCTAGTGCAATTCTGCACTGGGGTCGCTTGGTGCACCCTAGGTGGTGAAAAGCAAGCTAGCAGAACGTGCATAGGACAGCATAGACCTGGTCACATAAGGCTTAAATGATGGGTGCTGTTTGATTCAAGGCATTTGTAAACTCTGTTTTCTGTCTATAGAAAAAAAGTCTAGATTTTTCTGTTGCAGACACTATGTCTGTGGCATGAGAAGTGGTAGCAGAAATGAGAGAAGGGCACGAGTTAGGAATATGGCCACTCAACAGCGAAGAAAAAGCAGTCATTTAGCCCCTTTTCTCACCCTCTGTTTTAGCAAAGATCTATGTATCATTTCATCAATTTCCAAGAACCACGTCAGTGATATCTTATGGAGAAACAAATTTCTGGTGAACTGAGGTTAATTGAAAGCCACTTTGAAATAATGGCAACTGGACAAGGAACTTGAGCATGGAGGAAATCCATTTGTCTAGACTTGCAACCTGTTGATAATATCATGGTGTTACCATACAAAATTAAAAGGAATTTTATTTGGAGCAGTGACTTCCCCCCCCCCGCCCGATTGTTCCTTGTTGTTTGTTACAATTTTTCTCGGGGCTTCCGGGGTCTGTTCCTATCAGGACTTTATTAAACTCTTTAAGATACGCCTCTGCTATTCTGTCTTAATAGTGATGTGCAGTGGTGGTGTAATGCAACAGATGTAGTACAAATCCTACACAATGTCATTACAACATCTAAGAATTTGTTAGAAAATGTAAGAAGTTTCAATAAGAGAAGATTTTACTAACTCTTAAATGGATTGCAGAGTTCTCATGCATTTGCATGCCAGCACAGTAGCTGTCAGCAGGGATCTTGCAGGCTATTCCCAAACTTTGTGAGATGGACATCTGGCAACTCAAGCAAAGCACTAGCAAGAGCATGTAGGAGAAAGTGATGGGGTTTGATACAAGGCAGTGGCCATTTAATCTTTTTCCCAGTAGGAAAAACTAAATATTCCTGTATTGCTGATATTACTTTTATAATGTTCTTTTTTTTCTGCAGTATTGTTCTCTTCAGCTTCTTTTACATTACTCAGGCATGCACATGCACACTTGAAAGCCTTCTACAAAATTTTCTGTTGAGGTCCCTTACAGATAAAAAGCTGTAGAGTTCTCACTGCACTTTTCAATCTTTCTTCAGTCTTATATAATTGGAATTACATAATGTTCTCCAAATTTGTGTCTTCCTGCAGTGCTCTAGAAATTGATACATTCTATTTGTTTTCTGGCTTTTTCCCTGAGTTATTAGTAAAACACATTTCCCAATCAGGTTTGAAAAGCTAGCCCTAGGTGACAAGTGCATCTGAAATGCATTAATTCCTGTGCATAAATGGATATAGGTTAAACCTGTGTTCAACTGGCCAAGAAGGCAAGGAATGGGGACAGTATATTTTCTGGAAATTAGATAAATAAATAGCAAAAGTTCATATCCATTTGATATACAGTAACTGAAATCACACAGCTGATTTCAAATGAACAAACTAGTTGTCTGAGGATCATGTTTACAGATCTCTTATGTTCTAAACAGCTTTGGAATTGTTTAATGTTGATGGACTGATACATACAGGCATCTCTGAGACAGATGAGAAGAGGCAAGAGAAGACTTCATGTTGCCTAATTTTGCAAGAATTTCCTTCAGTATCTTCCAGTACTTCCATGTAAAGAAAAGAAGATCAAAATACAGGGATATTCTCTATGCGTAGGAATCTCTTGGATGCAGTTCTTCTTGTCTTAAATATTTACCCTTTGACTATTGTGCAAGGAATTTAAGTCTTCTTTTCTTTAAATCTGTTATTTGAACTACAAGTTTGCTTTCTTGTGAATGAATCTCTCCACAGTGGCAGGCTGGATTATGACATGTTTTAGGCAACTGTGCACATACATAGCAGTCTTTACAAATGCTAAACCAGCCTGTGAAAACTTAAATGCCACACCAGGCAGTGGGCCATGTCTTTCTAGCTACATCTGATCTTTCTTCTCATGGTTGAATAAGCTTCCCAAAGCATCCAGCCCAGTATGCTTGAACATGTAGCTAAACTACTTAAAGGATTAATAAATACTAATCACTGGGAAAGTTTCAGCTTCTTATAATGCCATTTCAATTAATTAATCAATGTTCCTGAGAACCTGTTAGAGCTTGGTTGAATGTGATACGTGGAGTCTGAATGAACAGCAACGTGGAACGGACATGCGAGTATCTATTTGAATTCAGAGTATGCAGCAGGGTCTTCTCTTACTTCTCTAAACCCATTCACTGTGCACATGCGGATGTTTTGGGAGTTCTTCCTGTTCTTTATCATTCTCTCCTCATTGTCAGTTGGTGCCATGGAGGAAACACAAGCCCAGTCAGTTATTTCCAAGACAGTGATGAAGCTGTCTGTGACATGCTGGAGAAAGGTTTCTCAAGCACCTGTTGCTGTTTAGGAATGGCTGGAAATTTAATGAGCCCCTGAATGTGTTCCACCATGCCCCTTGGGAAGGGAGTAAGGCACCTAAATAGAGAATATTAACTCATCGCTCTGATATCCCCCAACTGACGCCAAGCAGATGCAGAGTACTTTCTATGAAACGCAAACTTCATATACCTGTTTTATCTCATAAGTTTCGTGGGAAGATCAGTACAAAGCAGCACTCACTTACTGTAATGGAAATCATGCGTTCCCTTATTCATTGTAGTGTCAGACATCTCTCAAATCCATTGTGTTGCATTTTCTGGCATTTGGGCAGTACAGTCCTCAGCTTCATTGCTGCAGTGAGAAGCCTTCACAGAACACAAGCCTCTTCTCAGTAGCAGGACTTTATTCAGGACCCAGCTTTTCTTCAGCATTTATGGCATTTCTCCATCTGTTTTTAAAATGAATACTGAAACAAAGCTTGTGAGTGCAACTAAATTTTTTATTTGATCATGTTCAAGAAAACTGCTGTTGAATGATTTGGTGTGAAAAAAAGAAAGGCTGATTAGCCCTTCTCCTTTTGGGATGAAGGGAAAGTTTTCTGTGTTTTCAAATCCAGTGGAACTGGCTGATGCAATAGACTTGCCAGTATGCAGCATCTTGTATCTTTGTATAAAATTACTTTGGATTGACTTCCCTGCGACAGTGCCTGAGCAAGGTTTCAGAAGAACCTGGATAAGGATATGGGAATTTGAATCATGTTTTTTTTCTTCTTTTTGTGAAGGGAAAAGCAGTTCTCATTTTCGTCTCTTCTGTACTTACATTTCTTTTTTTCTGTTTATACTCAAATATCTTATCCTGTGACTTCCCTAATTCCATGTAAAGACTGAAAAACTTGCTGCTCCAT